GACTGTGGACAGTTCTCAACTCGAGCCATTGGATTCGGACGAGATTCTCTCTGAAGCGGAGATTCCCTCCTTTGAGTTCAAAAGGCGTGTGCATGGGGGGAAAATTTTGAATGAGGAAAATCAGGAAGGGCGGGTCCAGAAAGTGGTCAAATCCTTTGAGAATGGCCTGGTTATGGGAGCATCTCCGGCTAAAAAATGGGTGCGACGGCCTCGATCCCCAGAGAAGCTCCAACAGGAGGAGATGGGTGGGAGTGAAGATGGCCAACTGAGACTTAATGTTTATGGTTCCAACATGGATGACAATACCGTTGGCGGTATTAAACGCTCTCTGGATAATCTTGAGGGGGATACTGCTGAGGCCCCCACTTCAAAGAAGCAGTTTGTGGAGGACAATGAGGAATTGGATAAGGTGGAGGAAGCCAGCCTCGAGTTGCCCCAATATGATAAATGAGGCTTCTTGCCTGGAATGTGAGAGGCATTGGACCATCTCTCACATTCCAAACCGCCGTTGGTTTAGTGCATTCCAATAAACCGGATCTCGTGTTTTTTTCTGAAACACGATCGAGCTAAGAGTAGTGTCCCGGCGTTTGCGGGGTTTTGATTTTCAACTTTCTCATTGTTTCTTTATTGATGCTGTTGATGCATCGGGTGGGTTAGTAGTAGCTTGGTCCCCCGGGGTTGATGCCTCGGTATTTTTCCATTCGAATTTTTGTATTTGCACTCAGATTAATGAAGCGGACTTTTCTTATGTTGTGGTTTCGGTCTACATTAGCTTTGATGTGACCATAAGAGCCAACCAACTGGCCCTCTTACAAGATATTTGTAATTCGATCCGGATCCCATATGTTGTCATTGGTGATTTCAATGCTATCCTTCATGAGGGGGAAAAGGATGGTGGGAATGCCTGGAATGTTTCTCAGTCACTTAGCCTGCGTGAATTTGTCCAAAATTTGGGCCTCCATGATCATGGTACCAGGGGGATCAATTCACTTGGACGAACAAACGAATGGGTGATGAGTGCATACGTGAGAGACTGGATCGGGCTCTTTGCTCACAGTCCTGGCTCGACAAATTCCCCGCAACACTGGTTAAACATTTCACGGATCAGAGCTCTGATCATCGAGCTCTTCTCCTCTCCGATAAGGCGTATATTCGATACTCCAGGCCACTGTTTCGCTTTAACGCCCGCTGGGCTGATAACCCAGAGGTCAAAGCCATGGTTAACTATGTATGGCAAGAGAGTATTCCAGGTACCCCTATGTTTCGACTTTGGGAACGCCTGAAGAAGTTGCGTCATCTACTCTATGATTGGAGCAGGGAGGGGACTACGAATTCCCTTCGTAATATTAAAACTCTTCAAGGGGAGATTGATCGGATCAAATTAGTCCACCCAATTGATTGGGATATGATTCGTAGCCTGGAGACTGAGCTCTCCCGCCAATGAGAGGCTGAAGAGATTTATTGGCAGCAAAAATCAAGGGTCCGATGGTTACAAAAAGGCGATAAAAATTCCTCCTATTTTCATACGGTGACGCGAACTCGTCGTAAAAGGAATTTTGTATCTAGCCTGCATAATGAGGACGGTGAATGGGTAACAGAGGAAATTGGAAAAGCCACAATCGCTACGAATTTCTATCAGGTCCTGTTTACCTCGGAAAATCAAGTACCTAATGTGGCTGAAAGGGTGGCGGCTCTTCCCATCTCTCGGAGCGTCACACCAGAAATGAATGCTAAACTGACTGAGGAAGTCTTACCCTGCGAAGTGCGAAAAACGGTCTTCGCGATGGGATCGAAACAGGAACCTTTTAAAGCTTTCTGGGATATTGTGGGAGATTCAGTAATTGAGGCAGTATGTTCGTTCTTCGCAACGAGTAGAATGCTCCGCAGTTTTAACAATACTTGGTTAACCTTGATTCCCAAGGTGGATAATGTGGAGCATATGCGCCAGTTACGCCCAATTAGCTTATGCCAATTTGTTTATAAAATTATAACCAAAATCATGGCTGAGCGACTTTCTAATCTCTTACCTCAAATAATCTAAGAGGGTCAAAATGCTTTCATCCGGGAACGTCAGATAATTGATAACATCCTCCTTGGACATGAGCTAATGCATTATCTCAAAATTAAAACACGCGGGAAGAAAGGGTACATGGCTCTAAAGGTTGACATGGAAAAGGCCTATGATAGAGTCGAATGGCCTTTTCTTATGGCGGTGTTGGAAAAGATGGGATTTAGTTCTGTCTGGAAAGGATGGATCATGAGTGCCTAAGATCATCCTCTTTCTCGTTACTAATGAATGGGACTCCTTCAGGATATTTTACTCCATCCCGGGGACTACGACAGGGTGATCCGCTCTCCCCTCTCTTATTTGTGCTCTGCACTGAGGGGTTTGCAGTGCTCCTTCGTAAAGCCATTTCGGAGAAGAAGGTGGATGGGGTTAAGGTGGCTCCCCGCGCCCCTAAGATCTCCCACTTGTTCTTCGCGGATGACTCCTATTTATTCCTGAGAGGAACACTTCAGGATTGCGAGAACCTGATTGAAGTCTTAAACGAGTATGAGGAACTTAGTGGCCAACGTGTCAATTTGGAAAAATCGGTAGTTTGCTTTAGTAAGAATACTGCTCTGCCTGATCAAGAATTTTTTGCCACACTTTTGGGGGGTAGGGGAAGTTGGAGTGCATGATAAATATCTGGGATTGCCGACACTGATTGCCCGATCCAAAATGGCAACTTTCTGTTACCTGGAGGAAAAATTGTTAGAACGGTTGCAAGGGTAGAAACTAAGGACATTATCTTGGGCGGCTAAAGAAACTTTGATCAAGTCAATTGCTTTGGCCTTGCCGTTACATGTGATGTCCTGCTTCCGATTACCCCTATCATTGTGTCGCTTGTTGGACAAACATGTTGCCCGGTTCTGGTGGGGTGCTGAAGAAGGCCACGCTAAGGTTCGCTGGGTGTCTTAGCGCAACATGTGCAGAAGTAAGCATGAGGGAGGAATGGGGTTCCGCCGTTTTGAGCAGTTTAATCAGGCTCTATTAGCTAAAATTGGTTGGCGTATACTCTCGGAACCTCAGTCCCTTCTGGCCCAGGTCTACAAAGGTAAATATTTTCCCAAAGGGTCCTTCCTTCAGGCGTTGCCACGATTTCGGCCCTCCTGGGGTTGGGAAAGTATCCTGTATGGACGTCAGCTGCTGGAGGAGGGTCTTTGCTGGCAAATTGGGAATGGAAAGACTGCTTCCCCACTCCACTCCAACTGGATACCTCGTTTCCAGCTAGAACCCCTAAGTTATAATCCGCAGATCCTGCCAGCGGGGGGGGGGGGGGGTGACCCAAAGGTAATCTGTCAAGGGGAGGGGCGTTGGTGTGATACTAAACTTAGGCAGTGGTTTGATCCAACTACGTGTCGTGCCATTAAAAGAATTCCTCCCCCGCAACAGAATGTGGAGGACAGGATGATCTGGCACGATACGCGGGATGGGGTCTTCACCGTCAAGTCAGCATATCATCTGGCTGTTTCTCTTGATAGAAGGAGGGGTCGTTGGAAGTCCTTGGCAAGTTGGATGGATAAGCCTAGCTGGATCCGGTTATGGAATGCTAATATCCCTCCTAAACTGAAAGTTTTTGTCTGGCAGATTCTTAATCGGTCCCTTCCTACTACTGAGGCCCTGATAGAGAAGAAGGTCCCCGTCAATCCTGGTTGACCATTGTGCTGGGCAGATTGTGAGACTATGGAGCATTTATTTCTCTACTGCCCGGTAGCACGAGCACTTTGGGACTATTCAGGGTTGGAATACCTGGGGGAGGGTTTGCCTAGGCATACTTTTCCATTGTTCATGAAGAAACTGCTAGCATTGATTGATCAGCCAACGCTATTCATGGCCGTTGTGGCCATTCTTTGGCGAATTTGGCGATCTCGTAATTGGGTAGTCTTTAAGGGTAAGCAGTTTAGCTTCGCTGCGTTGATGCGCCAGTTTCATCAGCAGTATGAGGAGTGGATGAATTTGCCATCTTCTGACCCTTCATCCGTTGTTGGCCATCCGGGGTGTCAGCACCTGGCTCCGGTAGGGACTGATAGGATTTTTTGTATGTGGGATGGTGCAACTAGGAGTGGCTCTCACTCGGCAAAGGGGATTGTTCTGTTGACTCCTCTGAGGGAGATCCTCCTGGCTAAAGGAGTCCACTTCCCGGTGATTGATGACCCAATGGTGGTGGAATTACTTGTGCTCCGGGATGCGGTTCAATGGTGTCTGGATCTTCGATTGACGGACGTTGTCTTTGAAGGTTATACCAAGGTGATCATTGATAAAATCAATCAGGCTGATACTAGAGACAATCAGACAGGGGCTGCTCTTGAAGAGATTATGCAGTTTTTTAATCCCCAGTCCGAGTTTGCTGTTCGGTTTGTAGATCGGCGTAGCAATAGGGTAGCCCATTTGGTGGTTCGAAAGGCCATTTTTTTATACCCGACTCTGAGTCGTTTGTTTGATTTTCAGACCTGGCTGAATTCCAGGGTGTAACTATCTTTTGATTTGATTCAATATTTGATTATCTTTTGTTAAAAAAAAACCTTAAAGATGTAAACTTCATCATCCTATAGATCAATAGCGATGTCTACACTTTCGAATTCTCTTCTCTTCTCTTCTTTTGCAAAAAGGGGGAGCAACCATATCGTGTAGGCCATGAGATATTGAACAATGATAGAGCTAAATTTAACGAAAAAATGGCTTTGCTAACCTTAATGATGACACTCCACTAACCTCTCTAAAAAAGACACGTTACAATTTCTCCATTTGCCTTGTTGGACTTTGAGGGAGTTATTTTTATCTCCATTTAGGTTTTGATTGCCTACTACTACTGCTAATGAAAAACTTCACCAACAAAATAATTAAGGTTTCAGTATTTATTATTTTTAAATAATGAAAGATAAAAAATTAATCGATGTATCAAAATGATGAATAATTGAATAATCAAACAAGACCAACGGGTCGAGAGCAAGATGCTATTTAGTAATTTTTCAAAGAATATTTTCCACAATAAAATACACAAAGAACACACTTTAATGTTAAATTAACAATGAAGTTATGAATGAATTTTCAAAGTATACATCATAGTCACACTCTTTACAGTTTAAATGATAAATACATTTAAAAATGTCTTAAAATATAAAAAAACAAGTCGTATCGTAGAAAAGTAATAAAACTTAACGTACAATTGTTTACACTAGAACCACCTTAAAACGAAGTCCTCGCTACCCCGCCACTGCATGCACCCACTTCCCTCAATCGATTTTTTCCCTGCCGCCGTTCATCGGAGCTTGGTACGACGGCGATGATGACACGTTCGACGCAGGAGGACGGCGCTTGGCCTCGAGCTTGAGGAACATAGCATAGAGAAGTTCATTCCACGAATCAGGGACACCAGGCAGGCACCAATGGCTGCAATCCTGATTACGCAGTGACGACGCTCTGTGGGTAGAGTAGATAGACAAATGGCCGTCTTTCCTTCTGGCAGTCATATCCGTTATCTTCAGAACATGGAACACTCTGTCCTGAATTGTGCGATTAGGAAGGATTTCGTTGGCTACTGACTCAAATTGTACTTGTGTCCAAGGATGTACTGGCTCTCTAGGTGCCTCCAACTCGGGCAGAGTTTCTTTCTGGCAGGTCCCTCCTGTGTTCCACTTTCCTTGCCTGCAAAACCCAAATCCATTATTGCCTTAGAGAGATGCATACATCAAAGCGCAGGGAGGGAATGGAAGTGATTGGGTTAAACTGTGATTACATGAAATGGGCGGGTTCGTAGGTTCGGAAGAAGATCTGCGTCTTGTTTGTGTCAACTTCATTCATTATCCAGTGCATCACAGTCTCCATGGACTTCCTGTATGCTTCCTTGATCCCCATCTCGATCTTCACTTCTTGACCTACTTGGAAGTAAATTCCCCTGAGTCAACAACAATATGAGAACCAATGTTAGAAAAAAGAGATCATACTGAAACTCAAGGTAGCATATGCACAAATTTACTTTTTGGTTCTTTTCAAAAGTTCTCTTACTAAGAGAGGCTAGTGAATCTGAATTCTTTGTAAACAAGAGTCATTTCCCTTCCATATACATTTTTATATTACCCTGTGGTACTTGGATTTATTGATGCAATGGTGCGGGCGGGGCGGGAACCTCAATACTCATACCCATCCTACATTAAGTACGGATCGGGTCGAGTAATACCCGCACGGATACGAGATAGGGTTGGATGACCCAATCTTATATATTACTTGAAGAAAATGTTGATTTTTTAGTGACCGAACAAAAGAAAATTAGTTCCTACCTGGAAAATAAAAATAATAGGTAAACAAATAGAGTCCAATTAGTTGAAAAATAAAGTCACATACCTAAAGTATCATTGGGTGAAATATGAGTTAAGATAAATAGAAAATTTTTTTTAAGACAAATCGAGATAGGACAAGTCAAGATCGAGACGAAATGAAACGTGGCAGGTTGAAACTAATAACCTTGCCCCGCTCCACGCTACTGGTGGCCGGGTATGACCCACCACAACACTGTTCAGATTGGGTTATGGTGGTTGCTGATGGCCTTATGGGTAATTAGTAATTACTGATACACGGTTAGTGTCAATAATTAGCCGCCATAACCTTCATTGTTCAGTTCATGAGACTTACTGTTGTATTGTCTTGCCATAATTCCACCAATGCCCTGAATTGAGGACCAGCACATCAGCATTCCTCCAATGGGTTGAGCTCCAATCCATCAGATCCAGTTTCAGCGTCAGTCGAACCTTGGCCCCAGGAGGAGGCCTGCCCATCGGAACAAGGTACGGAGACCTGTAATACTCCACCGTGCAGTTGTAATCCTCGAACTTGAACGCCAAATACCCTTTGTGCTTCGTAATTGGATTCCCATTCACTTCATAAACAGAGCTCGTGTTGGCAACAACAGAGGATAACAAGCACAACATGGATTCCCATTGATTCCTCCCCAACGAATCCCCAACAAACACCAACCGCTTGTTCCTCAGCTTCTCCAGCATCAACTTCCCGTCAAATCTGGATCAGGAAGTAAAAAAAGACATCAACTTTCTATTCTCATTTCCTCAAGAGACCAAACAAGAGTGTTTTCCCCTTTTTCAGTACCTGGGCAAGTTGCAATCCTTGGGCTGCCATCTCCACTTGGTGAAGAACACATCAGGCCGTCCATTTTCTCTGCACATGAACCCTGGTTCTGAAACGGTGCAATCTTTGGCGAGATAGAGAGGGTACTCTTCGTCCCAAACCCACTCACCATCGAAAATGTCGCACCCATTCCCTTCCTCCGTCAAAAAATCCACACTTTTCCTCTCATTTCCGAATTGCAACCAATTGGGAACCCTGTTCACAGTCCCAATCACTTCCCTGTAATCCAAGTAGAAGAAACAGAGGATTACGGAGGCAATGACCACAAAGATCGCCAAAACCCCAACGGGCCGCCCATGGAGCCTGTACAACGGCTTCGACTTGGTGCCTGAATCGAAAAACTGAATGGTCTCTTCCTCCTGCTCTTCGCTTTTCGTCATTTTAAATTGGGAATGATACGATTTTCCAAAGGTGGGTTTTGCTCGGCAAGAGTGTTGGGAGAAATGGGTATCAGTAGCTAAGCATAGAGAGAAAGTAGGTATCGAAAAGGAGAATTGCAGTGTTCGAGAGAAACAACGTTCATGGAGAGAAATGGAACCACTGCCATTTGTAAATGGACAACAGTCGATTTTGTTTAAAGAAGGGTAGTAAGAAGAACTAAGCAGTAGCAGGGCTTCTTTGTTTGGGGAGACGGGCTTATGAAAGTTGAGAGAAGAGAATCAGAGGGATGGTATTACAATTTACATGGGTGAAGAATAAGGAAGAAGAAGAAGAAAAGGGAAACCCATTTATTTATTCATGAAATGAAATGCTTCATTCCATGCAAAAAATTGTTCCTTCCATTTTACTAGTGCATCTAATAAAATGAAACATCACTTTCATATACTAAAAAAAAAAGAGCTTTCAGATAGGTCCAGCTATTTGCCTTCTATGGCAAAATATGATAATTATTAAATTTTGTGGACAATGATATATGGTATTATTTTTTTAGGAGCGAAGGCTCACAGCAGTGCTCATTGAGAAAAGAATGAGATTTGGATTGATTGATAGACCTTTATTTGTTGGTGAAATTTATTAGAGTTTTTTTGTTGGTAGGAAACAAACAGGGGGAAAAGGGGTGCTCGCTCTAACGTTAAATATTAATAGATAGCGGGATAGGAATGGCAATGCGCAGGTCCGGGGCGGGTTTCTTGGTAACCAGACTCGCTCCGTGGCAGGGCGGGTCCAGGTCGGATAATTGATCACAGGTTGTGGGTCGGGGCAGGTCGACCTAATGGGTATGCAATTTATTTGAAAAACATTAGAAATATTCGTTATTTTTATTATAAAACTAAGAAAATAAACAATATTATGACAATTGTAGTTAAATTATTGGAGAATTTGAGGTTTTCACTAATTTACAACTTTATTATAGCTAAAATATGATGCGATAAAAGTAAAATTCAAAGTAATTTGACTTAGATTTCATGTAATTTAGACAAGAACGGGTCGAGAATGGGGCGGGTCAGGGCAGGTCGGGTCGATGAGACTACCCATGCCCGCCCCGCCACGCCTACGGGGCGGGTCGGACCCGCCCCAAAACAGGTCAAACAGGTCGGGTAAAACAGGTCATGTCGAAATTGCCATCCCTATAGCGGGATTTGAATTTAAATAGAGTCAAAATACAATTAGTATCGCAAGTCAGAGCTTGGATTCTCAAAGATATGCACTCCAATCGGGAGGAGATCCGGTGAGTAACCTTGTGGTAAGTAACCTCATGCATAACCCAATAAGAATCTGCCATATCATCACCTCTTCCTCTCTCTTGGAAAAATCATTAATTTTCTTTTTCTTAATCTTTAACGGACGATTTCTCACTCGTTTTAACTCGGAATTTAATTTTTTTTGCACAGTTAGATCAGATTAATTGTGTTCTTCAAAATGATATCCACTTTGATATTTTTTGGAACAAAAAAAAATTTGTGAGTTATTACCAGTCTATACCATATGGTATAGTCAATACCATATGGTATTGACTAGTATTAAATAACAACATACCATATTGTATGAAAAATACCAGTCAATACCATATGTTGTTATTAATACCAGTCAATACCATATGGTATTAAATAACAGCATACCATATGGTATGAAAAATACCACCTCATACCAGGGTGGTATAGTATGGTATGGAGTTGGTAACGAGAGGTTTGAAATTTTTTCCCTCAGAAAATTTTGAAATCCAATAGATCGTGATTAAATCGTTCCTTTTGTGCAAAAATTTTCGAAAATGACTAAACAACGAAGGAGATACCATATGGTATGGAGTTGGTAACGAGAGGGACGGAAATTTTTTTCTCAAAAAATATTGAAAATGGATATAATTTTGTAGAGCACAACGAACTCGTTCCATCTGTGCAAAAAAAATTGAAATCCGAGTTAGAATGAAGAAGATATGATCCAATTAAGAAAACTAGGGAAAATAAATTCTTTTAATTCTCCACCCTTAGATCTATAGTCACTTAAAAAAGGGTCCAGATTTGCTTACTTATTGTTACTCACCCTATCTTGAGCCACTCCAATCTACCAGATGGACCTTTGGTTTACATTTTATATTTATGTAAGTTAACAAATACGATATTTACTATTTTTTTCAAATATATTTATATACCGTCAAAATGTAATTAAATATAATTAAAGTTAAAATATGCTAACTAACTGTTAAATGAGTAGGAAATTACCAAAATGGCCTCACTTATTAAAAAATTCCCCTTTTCTGCAGAAATTAAAAATAAAAATAACTAAAAGGACTTGAAAAGGAAATTTTAAAAATTAAGAAAAACTAAATTGATTATATAATTTATATTTTCTTTCTAAGAAAATAAGAAGAAAATGTATGTAATTGGGGAAATTTGGCCATTTTATGCCCTTTAACAGTAAACTAACATAATTAACCATTTTACCCACCAAGACTCCACACATAGTTTTGGAGAGTTTATCATGGTGTCATCATGTTCCTGCAAGCCCGTCTGGTAGGGGTGGCTTTTACGGTCCGGTCCGGCAAAATTGACCTGAATTGATCCGGTTCCGGTACGATCTTTTCGGTAATATACGAATTAAAGATTGGATTGGATACAATCCGGTTTTGATTCGGTTCGATCTTGACCCGGACCGGTCCCAATTCGGTATTGATTTTAGATTGAGCTTATGAAAATTTGAGTGGCATGAGACCTCAAAAGGTGAGCAGTTGGTTAAGTTTTGGCTGTTGGGCTCTCTTATCCGGTATTTATCCGGTTTTCATTCCGGTCCCAAATAATTTTTTTACCTCAAATCTAAGCCCGAAGATAGGATTAGATTGTTTGTTATGCAGTTCCGGTCCAGGTTATACGGTCCGGTTTCGGGTAAACCCAAAAAGTCCGGACCAAATAGCCAGCCCTACCGTCTGGTTAACTTGTCTACAAGTTGATTTTGTTGGCTTGCTGCCCTGCCAGCTACCATATTGGTGTCGAGTTCGTCTCATTGGCTTAATCGCCTTTCCGACTTGGTACCCAATCATCTTGCTAAACAAATTTATCATGGTTTTATCATGTCGGCCCGTCTTGTCAACTTGTCAGCAAGTTCATCTTGTTGGCTTGTTGTGCTGCCAGGTGCCATGCACCTTGATATCAAGTCCGTCTCGTTGACTTAATACTTTGTTTCCGACTTGGCACTCAGTCATCTTGCAAACAAGCTCATTTCATTGGCTTGATTCCCAGCTAACTCGTCAGCTAGCCACCTTGTCGGCAAGCTCATCTTGTTAGTTGAACATGGTTACACAACTTGATGTGATGAAAACTTAACCACTTCCACTTCTAAGTACATGTCCTGTTACCCATCAGTATTCCACACTTAGTCTCAAAGAGTTCGAAATGGTACAATCTTCGGATTAGTATCTAGCCATCTTGTCATCTTTGTAACTACCTAACTTTCCACCAAGCACGTCTTGTCGGCTTGATATTATTATGCCTTGTCGGCTTCGTACCCTCTGATTGGTAGTAAGCCCGTTTTGCCAGCTTGTCAAAAAGTCCATCGCTCGCCAATAGGATCAAGGGAGGTCAGTCGACCACTAATTAAGACCCAAAACACACCCCAATAAGACCCAACTTAAGTCATTTAAATTTTAATATTGGAGCGGTCTTATAAAATCATTATATCTCTTGTAAATTAATCAATGTGATACAAAATTAAGTTTCACAATAAACAAATACCTCACAATTTAGTTTATAAGTAATATGCTCTAAGTTATTATTAACTCATTATTCCATACAAATTCAACACCACCTAGTCACCCTTTTTCCTTAGCCAAAATTTTAGCTTTAATCAGACCCCATGAATACTGCCCGGTTTAAATTAACTACCAAGTCGTCACTTTTTGATTCTTATTAATACTGGGTCATTATATAGACAAGTAAATAAACAAACTCTCTATTAACTAGTCTCTAAGTGGAGTATTTGCGGCGATTTTTCACCGTTTGGTAAAGCACGCAAGTTGTACCTATACATCGAACCGCCGGCGGATCCATCGCAGTCGCAACTCGCATGCATGAGCTTGGCACAGCCGCAATTTACTTGGCTAACAAAATGGGGTTTGTTATCGTATTTGCCGTACCAATCTACGTACATCTCCATGCATATAGGCAAGATGTCATATAGCTATTTACGGTTTCAGTTCATATACAGCTGGCTCCATGATTGAGGATGTTGGAGGACCCAAGGTTCAAACGGCCAAGTCTGGATATGACCAACTTGGATTCATACATGGATCTTATAGGTAAGATTCCGACCTTAACTAATAAGACACATTTTGTAGTAAAATAGAAGGATTCTTGTGAGAACTAGAGAACTCCGAAGTTAAACGTGCTCGTTGTGGAGCACTGCAAGGATGAGTGGTCTTATGTGAAGTTACATTGATATATGTATCTCTAACAAAATTCGTGAGGGTCTGGGTCCAAAATTAACAATATTTTATCGTAAAAAGATTTGGGATGTTACATTCTTCTCTTAATAAACACTAATCAAAGGCTTAAAAATCGTCAAAGAAAGAAAGAATTATATTTATGCCTTGGGCATCACCAAAGTACAAGGCATTTGGTAATATATTTATGCATTATGTTACTTGAGAAGACAAAGAGGCTGATTCATCCAATACCCAAATTAGGTCAAATCAATTGACTTGTGAGTAAGGCTTTAAAAATATCCTAAAAAATGGTCGTGACCATGTGTTCATTAGTCACATTCCTATTCGTCAGAATTACTAAATTATATCAATATCATTATGTTCTATGCCGCCATATACAACAGACTCATGCACCATAACTCAAGGGTCACGATCATATTCTAACGAGTTACTGAACTATCTCAATATTGTTTAATTTTGTACAACATCGTACACAAAAATTTAATTTGTGTCTAATATATTGTCCTTAGACACAAATCAAATTATTATAAAAAAACCATCTTCCAGCCAAATGGCGGACACAAAGCTACTATAATTTATGTGAACAAGGACTTGCTCTAGTAATAATAACATTAGTCTTGAACTTGGAGATCACAGTTAAACCATTCAAGTAGCACATAAAAAAAACTATATCACCCTTATAAAAGAAAGCTATTATATAGATTTTTATTTATTATAGAAAATATAGGGATTACAAACACTGGAAGTGGGAAAATGAATGGCCAATATAATACTATCTAACTCCAAAAGCGCGGAGAACTTAGGGT